CAAGTTTTGGTGGATGTTCTTCTGACAAATCTGTTGGAGGGGAACCTGTTGCTCTGTGCACATCTGGATTACCACCAGTCCCACAACTGCAAATTGCATTCTAGGTGACTGTGTTGTTTGAGGTACCAGGATTTAAGGATCCACAGAGGGAAGACTACTTCAGGAAAAAAATAAATACATTTCAGATTAAAAGATTACCAGTAGAGTCATTTTGCATATTCAGTCAACCACAAACAAATGTGTTTTGTTGCTTCAGACTTTAGTCATCCAATCTAATAAACACCAAAAGAGTCAATAGCAGAATAATTGGTTTGGCTGAGAAGATTTGGGACATTTTTCATGGGCGCAACCCCCCTTACTTTTGTGCTAAGTTTATTTACATATATAAAAAATATTAGCCACCGGTAGCATTTCTTGATGTCACCCACTTCCTCTGTCTGTCGATGGTACATTACATGCAGGGATAGGCTTCCACAAGAGTTCCTCCTCTTGTTCCTTATCACCATCTGTCTGCAGCTCATCTTTCTGATGTACTCGTAGATGCTCCGTTTCATCTTGTATTGTGACTCTGACACTCCCCACATATTCCCTCCTTCTGTTGCTCTTAGAGCCTCAGGGTGCTGGAGTTCTGTGCATTGTCGGGAGTTTTCATATCTTGGCATCAGTGGCATCCATCTCGTCATGTGGCCAGCTTATTATTCCAGCTAGTATCTGATGACTGGTAGAGCTGCACAGATGGTTTGGATCTTGTTCCTGCCATTGAGCTGGATTCCCAGCAACTGACTTACCTTCTGGAGATATGTGGCTGTGGCTGACCTTCATGCATCTTCATTAGAATTCCTGTTGGCCTGTGGGACACTCAGGTACTTGTAGCTGTCCTGTATATCTGGTATACTCCCTTCTAGCATGCATTCATTCCGCATTATCTTCCCTCCCTTTGCAACAATTTGTCTACACTTATTCAGTCCAAATTAGATTCTGATGTCCTCACTGTAGAAGCTGGTGATATAGATCAGTGCGTTTATGTCTCCCTGGAATGCAGCTTGATGTCATCCATGTACAGAAAGTGTCTGATGGTCCTTCCACTTCTGAATCTATATCCATATCCACTTTTAGTGACGAGCTAGCTTCAGGGGTTGAGGCCTGTGCAGAACAGTAGGGACAGTGCATCACCTTGGTGTATTCTGCACTTCATAGTAACTTCTGTGATTGCCTTGGAGTTGGTCTCTCACAGTCCCAGCAATTTCCTGATGAATGTTATCGGCATACTATTAGCCTTTTACAGTGCCAAGCACTCCAGGATCCATCTGTGGGATAGTGAGTCGTAAGCTTTCTTTTAGTCAATCCAGGCAGTGCTCAGGTAGCCTCGTCTGGTCTTAGAGTCCTGGTCTACTGCACCTATTCACCAAGCAATTCAATTTTATTTATATAGTGTAAAATCAGAACTACACGCCAAAGCCTTAAGTTTGTAAGGTAAAGACGCTACAGTAATACAGAGAAAACCACAACAATCATATGACACCCTGTGAGCAAGCATTTGGCAACAGTGGGAAGGAAAAACTCCCTATTAACAGGAAGAAACCTCCAGCAGAACCAGGCTCAGCGAGGGGCGCCCATCTGCCACGAAGGCTTAATATTGTTGGAAAATAAATTACACTCAACAAAAATATAAACGCAACACCTTTGTTACTGCTCCCATTCCCCATGGGATGGACGTAGAGACCTAAAATTCATTCCAGATACACAATATAACCATCCCTCCCAAACAGTGGTCACAAATCAGTCCAAATGTGTGGTAGTGGGCACATCTGCTATATTGAGATAATCCATCCCACTTCACAGGTGTGCCACATCAGGATGCTGATCTGACATCATGAGTAAATGGTAAATGGCCTGTATTTATATAGCGCTTTACTAGTCCCTAAGGACCCCAAAGCGCTTTACATATCCAGTCATCCACCCATTCACACACACATTCACACACTGGTGATGGCAAGCTACAGTGTAGCCACAGTCACCCTGGGGCGCACTGACAGAGGCGAGGCTGCCAAACACTGGCGCCACCGGGCCCTCTGACCACCACCAGTAGTGCACAGGTGTACCTCAGACTGCCCACAACAAAAGGCCACCCTGGAATGTGCAGGTTTTTGCGCTATTGGGGGTCTGGGGACCCAGAACCGGTCAGTATCTGGTGTGACCACCATTTGCCTCATGCAGTGCAACACATCGTCGCATGGAGTCTATCAGATTGTCAATTGTGGCCTGTGGAATGTTGGTCCACTCCACTTCAATGGCTGTGCGAGGTTGTTGGATATTCGTGGGAACTGGTACACGCTGTCGTCAAGCACATCCCGAACATGCTCAATGGGTGACATGTCCGGTGAGTATGCTGGCCATGCAAGAACTGGGACATTCTCAGCTGCCATCTGCCCTGAACAATGTGAACCATGATTCATCCGTGAAGCGCACACCTCTCCAACGTGCCAGACGCCATCGAATGTGAGCATTTGCCCACACAAGTCTGTTACGGCGACGAGCTGGAGTCAGGTGAAGACCCCGATGAGGACGACGGGCATGCAGTTGAGCGTCCCTGAGACGGTTTGTGCAGAAATTGTTTGGTTGTGCAAACCAATTGTTCCAGCAGCTGTCTGGGTGGCTGGTCTCAGACGATCTTGGAGGTGAACCTGCTGGATGTGGAGGTCCTGGGCTGGTGTGGTTACACGAGGTCTGCGGTGGTGAGGCCGGTTGGATGTGCTGCCATATTCTCTGAAACGCCTGTGGAGACGGCTTATGGTTGAGAAATGAACATTCAATGCACGGGCGACAGATCTGGTTGACATTCCTGCTGTCAGCATGCCAATTGCACGCTCCCTCATTGCTTGTGGCATCTGTGGCATTTTGCTGTGAGACAAAACTGCACATTCCAGGGTGGCCTTTTGTTGTGGGCAGTCTGAGGTACACCTGTGCACTACTCATGATGTCAGATCAGCATCCTGATGTGGCACACCTGTGAGGTGGGATGGATTATCTCAATATAGCAGATGTGCCCACTACCACACATTTGGACTGATTTGTGACCACTGTTTGGGAGGGATGGTTATATTGTGTATCTGGAATGAATTTTAGGTCTCTACGTCCATCCCATGGGGAATGGGAGCAGTAACAAAGGTGTTGCGTTTATATTTTTGTTGAGTGTAGATTATGTTTATATGTATTCTCTAATATGCTTTATTCAACTTAAGTTGATGAATATATATCCAGAAAAATAATATTTTTTAAAAATGAAAAAAAAAGACAAGTAAACATTTTCAATCTTAATATTTATTTTTGTAATAACTTCTTTTAATGTGTTAAACTGTATTATTTTTTAATGCTTTTGTGATGACTGACGGGTTCTGGATCATCAAGTGACAGTGCTGGGAAAGTATATGAAGCCCATGAAGCTAAACACTGCAATAAATAATGGTCAAAGTGATCTCGCTGCAATTTAAAACTGAAATCCAGCTGAAATGAAATCCAGCTAAAACTTTCATGTCAACAGTACAGGTAAAGTAAATGTAGAGTTTAAAAAAGCAACTAACTTGTGTTAAAAATAATTACTTAAATGTGCAGTGTAATTGCAGAAGCAAGAAAACCTGATACCACTTCAGAAATATGAATGAAAAACTCTTGAAAAAATGTGTTTAGTCCTCAATCATTAAAAAAAGGCATTTGTTATATGTAAATCAGTCCACTTCCAATGATTAGATCCTTCCAGTTCAAGCTCCTTTCACAAAGACTCCGTTTTGTTGCACCGGTCGTTCCTGTGGATCAGTGGTCTGCAGTAGCTCTTGCTGGAGGAAAGAAAAAGAAAAGTTGTTTCATCAGTAGATTTTACTGCACTCATATTTTATTACCAAAACACACACATACACATATATATAAAAACACTGACAGATTTTAACAGTGATAAATCCACAAAACTGTTCAGGAACATTTCAAAGATTACACAAAACAAACAAAGGCGCTGATCCAACATCAACACTTCCTAAATCCCAATCTGAGTGTCAGTGGGAGGCACCTGAATATGCTCAATCCACAGAGGACCCACCCAGCAACCCTCACGACTCAAAGTCTCCAATGTCCCAGTGCAATAGGCCACAGGACCACCCTGAGGTCTACACAGCAGATTATTCTGTGCAGAATACAAACATATTTCCAGCAAACAAGATGTAGGATTATTTTCCCCTCAAAAAACATGTCCCTTGTAAACAGTTTATGCATACGTGGAGGAGCCCTGAATCAGGTGCCTATCAACATTACTTTGAACATAAAACCAAACAAAAGACATCATTTGATTGAACTGTTTGATGCAGGTCAAACAGTTCAATCAACTGCTTTTAAAGATCAACAGCCCACCTGTACCAAAACACCACTGGAATCAGAAAGGCCACAATGGTTTCACCAAAGCAGCATCTCCACTTCATTCGAAATGATTCCTGATGGGGAATATCTGGCAGGTTTCACAAAGTCGGATTTTGACTAGAGATGAGCTCCAACTGATCAACGAATTGGTCTTCTGGAACAATTTCCCTTGAATTTCTAATGAACTGCTTGCTTCCCTTCACTCCAGCAGAGTTCAAAGTTAAAAGGAGGATTCAGCCAAGAAATTTACAATAAATTATGAATAACTTATAAATTATGAGCCATGTTTTGTCAGCAGCTGTCACTGAGCTCTCACTGTGTTAAAGGGAAATCCAAGCTTTGAGTTCATTGGGCTACAGTGGCTTTTTTTAGGCTCAAAATGGGTCATTTTATTTTGGTTAGCAGACACATTTTATTATAGAAGTCAAATATATCAATGTGAAACCTGCTCCCTGGGGCTCTTTGGATAGAATATCACCCAGAAATAAAGAAACCAGGACTGTCCACAGATGTTCTAGGGAAAAAGTATTAAATGGAGAGATAAAGATTTTAAAAAAACCCAAGAACTTTTGTCACCAATCTGTGCACATTCCTTACCCTGACAAAACAACATATACTTAGACATACACACAACAGACACAATAAATTCACACAACATGAACTGGAGGTCAGGGCAGGTGTACCTGGACCAGATATGCTCACCAGCTCTCCAGTCTTTCAGTCCCTACACACCAGGGACAATGAAAAAAATCACACTTTGCCAGACTGAGATGTCGATCTAAGATTTTTCCTGCTAAAAGTCTACCACTACCACTAAACCATGAGTAAAACAAGAATTGATTGTAACCATAGGCAACTACAGTGGCAGCCACAAACGAAAACAGATGAGAGACTCGAGAAAAAGGATTTTGTTTTGTACTTTCTGTGAGAATTGTTATCAGGTTCACATTTGATAACTGAGGTTTATTGGATAGTTCGGCAAAGCAAGGACCTTCTGGTTGGCCTTTACTTTGCAGTGGTCTCATTTTAGGCATGACTTGCGCTTCTAGTAAAAGTTAAGGTATTTAAAATGTGTTCATGAAGGCTCAGAAGTGCAGTCGAGAAAAACTTTGCTGTGGATGTTTGTCTAACTAACCTGCAACAAGCTTGCTCTTGCGCGAGGCCTCTGAAGCCAGCATCTGGGACACATTCATGATCCTTTCCTGCTGCTGCAGAGCTGAATCCAGCTCAGTGAAGTCCAGCGGTGCAGATGGCTGTATGTTCTGGACACTGCATAAAAGGACACAAATGAGACTGACTATATAGTGTTGATTTGAACAGCACACTTGAACTAAGAAGCTTTATGGACCTATCGACCATGAAAACAGTTATGGAAATTATTCAGAAAGCACACAGGAGATGTTTGGTACATTTACAGTACTTAATTTCCCTTTTGAATACGTATAATGATTGTGGGATTATTAATAACAAGCACTCAGAGAGCACAAACCTTATTATTTTTTATTGGATTCATTCTCTTTCCTTTGACAGTACTTTCTTAAAAGATGTTACGCATTTTGGGGTCCAGTTAAAAGAAAGGCAGACATGAAACGTAAAAGTGAGGTTAGAGGTCAAATGTGATATGATATTTGGATGCAAACTCTAATGTGATATTTAGAGTCCCCATAAACCAGTATCATTTCCTACATGTTGCAAACACAAACAAAGGCAGCAGAATTTTAATCATAGTTTTTAAGATAAAAGACATTTTATGAAAGTTTGACCTTATTTGACCTTGAAGGAGAGGTGAGATATAAAATATGATGTATTTAAAATCTTTATACAGTACTTTCTATGTGTTGATAATACACAGCACAGAATCATAGTTTCTAAGTTAAAAAGCTTTTTGTCAACCAATAAAACATTAAGTTGACTTTGAAGACCTAAGGATAATTTCAGTGGATTGTTGACCCCACTCTGCTCCGCTAACTACACTGAACCTTTCCTTCTACCATATTTACAGACAGAATGACATGCACACACACAAACAAGTGTTAATGTATCTGATGTATTACCACTAAGGCCTTACCTCCCACCTGGTATATATCCAAGTGCAAAAAAAACGACATCTTTACCCCTAAATTCCTTCAACTGGTATAACTTCGGTATGAGCACCATCTACCTGGATTTGGCCAGCAGGGTCTTGATTCGCTCAGCCCGACGGGCACGTTCCTCCAGCTCCTCTGGACTAAGAGGCTCATCGGTGTCAGACTCAATGTAGCGCTCAGGGATGAGAACTTTTTCTGGTTTGGACAGCTGCATGTTGGGCAAACAGTTAGTCACACACATTGGTCTGTGGTTTGAAAGGTAGAGATTTTTATTTCAAATGAATTTTTCTTTTCATTAAACACCAAATCACAGCAAAAATCATGTCAGGGAACTTTCAGGACCAAGCCTCAAACTCTTTGACAGGAAGAAACCTCTGTATTAGTGATGCTGCGACTTTCTCACTGAGCTGCTTCTAACTGAAGTCACATGTGTGTGTACCTCTCGGCTGATATCCAGGTCATAGTCGAGAGGTTCCACATCCACCTCTCTTATGCGTGTAGCTGTTACTGTCACCCACTCATCTGACTGGATCCTGCCCCTCTCTTTGACTGGATTCCACCCTTCATCGCTTTGACCTTCTGCCACAGGTCGCTCCTCCTGCCAGTCAAACACCTGCAAGGGGGACGAGTCAGAATTAAGAGCTTACCACACTGTGGGGGGGGGAAAAACCCTATTCTTATCATTAATAGAATCTTGAATCATTTAGTTAAGTTAAGGAACAGTCTTGTGTGTTAAATATTAATACCATTATTATCAGAATGACAGATTAGCCAAATCTGATGTACACAGTGTTTATAAATAATGATTCCAGGTCAGATTTCCTGCAGTAACTGCAAGATTAAAGTTAAAGCATCAGCTGCTGTACATATTAGAAGTTCTTTTAGGCTGTAATGGTTTTTTTCAGAGATGAAGGCATTAGTAAAAAAGTAACTTGACAGATTAAAATTTTTAAAATTACAAAAATGTATAAATTAATTAATAATAAATTAAATATCTGGGTCACTGAAACATGTTTTTAATCAACACTGCTAAAAGTACTGGTTCCACAAAAAAATAAAAATAAAAATGTTGTGCAGGATAAGACTGACTACACAAAGAAACTCTACCTGCGTGCATGTGTAATGTTACTGCATTAAGCTGTGGTTCAGACAGAGAGAGGCAAACATAATCACATCACTCGTGTAACCAGGAGTAATTACAGCAAGTTCACCCAAGAATTTGAAAAGACTGTTCTTAGCATTGTAACCACAAGCAACTACAAGACAGCCAAATGATTCGTATGTGTTTCTGGATCTGCCCTTTCTTCTTTGTTTGTGTGTGTGTGTGTGTGTGTGTGTGTGTGTGTGTGTGTGTGTGTGTGTGTGTGTGTGTGTGGGGTGAGAGGTACTTGAGAGTAATCATCCAAGGAGCATCAAAGCCATGCATGCATCCTTCCCACTCCAGTAGCCTGCAGCAGGGTCTGAGCTGCTGGTGCTTTCACATGCTCTGAGAAACACTGCATCCCATGCCTTGCTGTGCTCAGGAGAATCAATCGCACACAGAAGGACAGAGATAAAAAGAGAAGACCATGCAGGCACAGATTCCTCAAACCCCCACCGGATTAGGAAGAACACAGCAAAGAACAGATTCAGAAGCAAGAAACTCTTTATTGTCAAGTGCAAATCTCTACATGATAGAAAAGAAAAGGGGAAAGAGTTGTGCATTGCTTCTCGATTACACAGAATTAGGTGGCGATTAGCAATTCACTTCTTTAAGTTCTTTACTATATTTCTACTCTCCAACTGAGCATCCTCGTGTTACTACTCCACACTTTGATCTGATAGGCTTTATGTAGGTGTGAAAAGATAAAGACAATATGGCAGAAGAGCTTTTGGGGTGAATATCTGACTGAAAACAAGGAGTGGACAGCTGTGCCATTTGAAGGAACATAACTAGAACAACAGTAACAGGGGTTATTTGTTTCAAATGTTAGCAGGAAATGTGTCAACAATACACGGAGTAAAAATAAGCAAAAAATCTCTTTAATGCATCTTTGTAAATCTGATAAAGACAAATTTCTTTTTTTTCCTCTCTTAAGGACATTAATGCCTCAGATCACTAAAAGTTGTTTAATTTTCCCACAGATCTCCTGTGACAAAGTTGTCCACTTTTTGTTCACACACACATATTTTTTTATTGCATTTCAGCCCAGTTGCTTTATCCAGTCATGTATTATTATGCTCTATAAAAAAACAAAACAGGCCATCTTTCTTTTCCAACATTAAAATTGTCAGTGTAATTATGAAACACAGTCAAAAGCTAAAAAGTAATTATGTAGTTTAAAAAATGATGTATAAATAAACATGTCTAATGCTGGTGAAGTACATAAAAATAAAATATACTCTGGCATTATCATTATTGTTATCGATATCATTATTATCATCATGTGCACTGAAAAGGGTGAAAATGATTAGCAGAAGGTGACAAGCTATGTATTGCTTACTGTTATAGGAAAATTTGATTTCAAGGGTTTATGGGAAATGTAGTTGATTTACAGGCAGCTCTCACAGCTGTGTGGTTAAACATTTGGTTAGTCTGCTATCATAACACCAGTACGGCAGTTATCGTGTGTCATGTAACCTTACAGGAAGACTTTGACATTTTAAGCTTCAATATTTTTTTTCCATCCAAGCACATTAGCATCTACGGTATTCTTCACTGAGACCAAGGGGCACAGCTAGCTGTAAGCTAGATTTACTCTAAGTGTCAAATGTCAAAGTTTTCCTTTAGGGATAAAAACCAGCACTGTCCCCACAACTTCCTGACTAAACTCTGCTATTGCACATAATCTATGATTCTGAAGTGGGGACGCATGCTGTAAACACACCATGATTAGCTAAAATGCTGATTAAGGAGGTACATTTAGGACAAAGGCAAAAAAGATCGTCAACATAACAAGGCACTTGGATTTTGAGTGAAGAAAAGAAAGCAGGGAGGCGGGATCATGATTTTTTTTTGTAACATTGCATCTGTCTTCATTTCATCAACTTGAAAATGTATATTTTCTTTTTCTGACATTTTCCCTCACTCTTTTATATGCTCTAAATACCAAATCTCTACAAAATATAACTGTACAGCTGTATACTGAAAATATCACTCAGTAAATAAATAAAAGTGTACAAGTACACAGTATGTAGATGTACATAAATGGATTCTTTTCTCTACTTTGTGGTGACTAAAACTGAGACAGGAAGGCAGATTGATGCCTTCAGCTCACTCCTCTTCTCAATGGATTTACATTCAGAACTGTGTCAGTGAGGTCCCACCAGGGAGCAGTGGAAATAAAGTTCACTTTCACCTGAACCTTTAAATAATAAAATAAAATAGACAGGGCATCTTTTTTTCTGGTCTGAAACTAGCCAAGCATTACCCACAATCCCCTGTGCTCCTTTTCTCTCCAACTCTTCTTATAGTATTATCCACGCTAGCTAGCCCGCTGTAGTCAGTCCCGCCCTTTAGCTTGTTAGTGCTTTTGGCTACCATCAGTGGCTAGTGGTTACACAAGGCAGGCAGTGCTAGTGTGTTAGCATTTCCACTAGTATATTATGTGGCTGGGGGTGGGAGCGTGGCATATCAGCTCTGGTGGTGGAGGTGGTGCTCCCTGTGCCTGCTGCTGCTGCGGTGGGGTTGGGAGTAACGTACGGAGGCTGGAGGGTCGGACGTGCTCGAGGGCAGCCTTGAGGAGGACGACGAGCGTTGGGCGGTGACGCTGGAGGCAGACAGGCCCGTGCTGGAACGCTCGCCCTGGCTGAGGTTCCTCTTGCGCTCCCGAATTAACGCTTTCTGGTGGCGCTTCATTCGTTCCAGCTGCTCCTCCGCAGTCATTCGGCCTCTGGCCTGGCTGCTCGAGGGCTGCAGGACTTCGGAAGTTGATGACAGACACTCCAAGGCACTCTTAGGTCTTTCCTAGTGAGTAAAGGCAGGAAAAAACAGAACAAGGAAAGCTTTGGTATGACATGGGGATGTTTGGTTAGTGCTATAAGAGAAGAAGTCTGAATTCCCACCCTTAAATCCCAGTTTCTATCTTCACTCAGACCACATATCCACTCTAACAGTTTCCATTTGGGAGAGGATACAGTCCACCCTAACCAATCATTAGAGATCAACTATCCACCTTACTATGAAGCCAATTAGATGCATAGCCATGCCAACATGCTGCTTTTTATTGAGATTGTAAGAGTGAAGTAGAGCAAAGTTAAAACTGTAGCCATGGCTGACAGCTGCTGAAAGAAAGCAAACACTGGCTCTTTAAAATATCCATCTTACAGCTTTACAGTGGTTTCTATCCCACCAGAATCATTGACTGACTAATCATTCGTCCTCACACGGTGCTAACTGGACCTAATCAAGAAAGCTTTTTTTCATCCACACTGCCAAATATATCAGTTAGACTGGACACATTCGAAGATCTGGGTCTGGACCAATAAGACAGATCAAAAGTGGCAGAAAACAAAATGGACACAAAACCAAACAGTAAAATAGCAGAAGTAGTAAATGCAAAAGAAAAATCAATTTGCCTGGATACAGATGCAAAAAATCTGTTTCTACTGCTCACACAGATGGTCCACAAACCGAGTGACAAAACTGGGAGAAAGTTGTAGTGAGAGATTTTTCCAGTGGTGTCAGTTTGCAAACATATCATATTAAAAACAAAAACAAACACGTAATTGAACATAAGATTAAAACAGGACTCACAAAAAACAAACAAACAGGCTTTTAAAAACAGACAAACCCTGAGTTTGTCCAGTTTATTGTCTTTACTCACCTTTGCTGCAGAGCTCCCAAGTCCTCTCCTTAGGGTGACGTAGGATGAGATGAGATGAGATGAGTTGGACTGGTTCTGTCGAGAGGAGGAGCCTGACAGACCAAGAAAATAACAAGAGCAGTAAATTAATTTAATGAAAACATTGAAATCTCTTATGGAATATCTACTAGGAATATGGACTTGAATTAATATACAAATGTTGTGCTGTCTGAGGGGTCAGGTGTTATAAAAAGAATCAACATTAAAAGATGCCTTCATGTAATTGGCAAACGTAAAAACTGTTTACAAAATCAGATTCTTTATTTTAAAAAATGTTACATTTTAGATTTTAAAAATGTTAATTAAATTCCAGATAATCATCCACTGTCAAACATCAGCCTCCAAATGATGACAATTCTATAACTAAAGGAAGGCTTATTAGCGAGATAAGCAGCTTTGAGTAGTCAGAGTAGAAAAGCCCTGTGTAAGTACCAGTCCATGTACCATTTAATAAGAGCATGTTTCAAATTTTAACTGATGAATACTCAAGTCTAAAGAGACTTCATCTTAGTTTCTTATTAAAATAAGTATTTTCCACTACACACTTCCTCTTTGAATCTTTTTATGATTACACCTCCATCTTTTACATCTCCATCCCATCATAACACAACTCTATTCTGTATTTTTAAATATGTATGTAGCCAGGACTTTTCATGGTATTTAAAATATACTGTAACTAGACTACACAATGCTGATGGGAAATCACTGGCTGCTTTAAAATTGTGTAATCAAGTTCAACAGGAAACCTTTTCCAGTCAGATACCATATATCATTTACACATTACTTTTCAGATACCTTTACTTGAGAAATACTGATAGTCAGTGTCAGACCCAATGTTGTGGTGGTTTACTCCTGGCAGCTCTGGTTCACTCAGGTATGAACGCAAGTCAGCCTGAAACCAGAAAAGATTAAACAGGAAGTTGGACTGGATAGACTTCTTTGGCTGCAGCGAACAATATAAAATGAGATATTTAACTGATCTAACCTGTAGAGAAAATACTCACAGAATTAACACAACAACAGGGAGTAAATGGCGGCGTACCTTATAGTCTCCATTGACAACATATTGCCCACTTTCTCTGTCCCTCTTCCTCTCATCTGACTGGCGCTTCAGCCCACGCACCGATGTGTGGCGGATAACTGAGGCCTCTTTGGGGAGGGGCGGAACCACAGGAGGTATATCCTCATAGTCGTACTGGCGAGGCAGTGGTGGCCTGGGTGGGGCACTGTCCTCTGCCTGTGCAGCAACGAGGACAAGAAAGCATCGTTATTTTGCTGATAACATTTCATTTAGACTAAATCCAGCAACTTCGTGAAAGTTAACTTTCAGCTGACTCTGACGTTTTTACCAGCAGAGCTGTGGCACTCACCCACTTTGGCACAGTGCTGTGAGGCAAAGTATAAGAGTGGATGTTTGGGATGGAGCTGCGAGGAGGAGGCTGAATCTCTGCACTGGGAGAAGGCACTGCTGGTTCTGACACTGAAGGCACTAATTTCCTCTCTGGTGGGATGTGTGAATGCAGAGAAATCAGAATTTAGATTTTAAATATAAGACGTTTTACACTGAGGTTTACACCCAGGCACGGGAAGAATTTCTTATTCATTTACACTGAGAGAAGGAGTAAGAGAAATACAGTTTCAATCCAAGTTTGACTGGAAAGCAGAAGAACAGGGAGTGAAAGTCAGTGACATAGTCAGACTCACTGTAATAGTAATTACAGCACAATATGCACAGAATATAAAATACTAAATATCAGACCATGTGGCCATTTTTAGCTATACACCTACAAGGTGTGTTGAGATCAAGGCCTTTATTGGATCTTAATGACTCTCTTCCTATCTGGTTATCATTACCAGTCCCTGCACTGAGTCCTCTGGTTTTGGGCTCTCTACCTGGGTTCTGGACAGAGTCGATGGTAATCTTGTAGTTGGCTTTGCTGGCACTCAGTCCGGCCATCACATCTTCAATCCTCCACAGCTCGCGCTTCATCTCAGCTTTCTCTTGCTGTATAACAACATAAAGACAAAATCAGCAGAAGGAATCCGACTCAGTTCACCTCATATGTGATGTGGTTTCATTTTGGAATGCTTTACAAACATTCAGAGATGAACTTACACACTTGCTTTACTTCTCTCTGGGATAACTTTCTTGGAGATGAAATGCCGGTTTGGTAGCGAGGCTACAAATACACACAGCCGCTCTATCACGTGATGCATACTGCTCTGACGTGCTACGGTTATGAGCCGAGTTATGCCATGTCGCAAGTTTTGTGAGGAGCTTTTTTGATATTTAGTGGATGGGATTACATTTTTTATTTCTCTCTGATATCCAATCCAGTAACTTAGGTCAGTATTGGACCGATACCGATACGTAATATCGGATCGGTCCATCTCTAGTACATATATGCATCTCCTCAAGGGCTTTTCTTACTTGGCTACATCTAGTAAAGGGCTTATTTCTTTTATTACCAAGGAAAATGTTCTACTGTCTTCCACTTTAGCTCTCGATTTGATTTTGCAGGTCTTTTGGTGGTGTTGTGTTGTCTGTGCATTCCGTTCTAAGAATTTACCAACTCGTGATTTTTCAGGCGAATGATGCCCTCTTCTACTTGCATCAAGAATTCTCTAGACCACAACTGACCTATTGATTAATACTAAAAAGAAAGACTATTAAACAGGCCACACCCGGCCATGAAACTGCTTGCTCTTCAGTTGTTCACTTATGTTTGAGCATATTATTAAACTGTTTTTACACAGAGGGACACACACTATGTAAAAATTGTTGCAATTCTAAAATTGCTGATGCAATGTTTCTATTTTATTCCGAGGGTGAGAGTCTGCACTCGAGCAATATAGTGATGACAAAATACAAAAAAATAAAAAAATAAAAATAAAAATAGTCTTCAAAAACAAAGAAGCGCCATATAAAATCCAGGCTATGAGTAAATGCCTGTTTTAACTGAAAATCCAGAACTAGATTGGCTCCGCTCTAACATGCAGTAACACGTTTTACCTGAGAGGTGGAGCTGTGGTTCATTTGTGCCTGCAGTGCTAGCCTCAACTGATCTACTGAATTCTCAAGCCTGCTGTACTCCTCCCAGGCATGTGCCATCTCCTGCATTAAACAAACACACACATGCAGAAAGACTTAATACATAGTCCCACGGTAAACGGGTTCAGGTTCTCTTATTTGTGCCTGTAGGGAGGTTTGATCTGCAGTCATCCATCCCCACATGCCCATTTTAGCCTCCCCGCATAAAAAAAACAATACAAACCAAAAACCCATAAGTCAATAATGGAGCACATTATAACGTGATGAATAAATAAATAATTAATCTACACGGTATCATATAAGATATAAAGGCCATGAGCTTTTTCCTGTTAAGTTGTATACACACTTTGTATACACACACAAAGTGTATTAGAGGCACACTGTTAAACATATGGCACATAATAACAAGCAGCTGCAAGCATTGAAACAAATGCATTTGTAGAATTATGTGTGGACTGTGAAATGAGTGTTTATACAATAACACTCAGTCATAGATACCGTGGAAACGCGGGATATTTGCGCCCTGATCGTCACCAGATCTTCCTGCAGCAGCCTCTGCTGGTAGGCGATTTTGTGGGCATGAGCTGGTTGTTCCTGGTACTGCTCCATCTGCTGATGGGACAAATCTAATACACTCTCCAGCTTGTCCTGAAGAGACAAGGTTAAGATCAGCATGAGATGAACAGAGAGCAACCGACCCCTGGCTTGTTTGTAGAATGCTGTTCTATAAATGGACACTTACTATTCAGCAGATGACTATTTTAAAATACCTCCAGGGGGCAGCATGTTTCCACAGAGCTGCGCTGCCATGAGATACCGACTGACTTTCATTAAAGTAGATCCTGAGCTGTATATGGTCAGACTTTAACTGCACGCCCTACATTATTTTGCAAATAACACCTTGTTGTATTCAGAATCTGATGAGGAATGTGTACTTTCATGTGGGGTTGTAACAGTAAAAGCTGAGGTAAATAAAGCGTCTGTCTCTACTTCAGTCGACTTTCCTAATTATGACAGTGAAGGTTACATTTAGCAGGAAACTTGTTTTGACTCTGATGTGTGCTGCCACATACTTTGACAGCTGCTTTAAGCTATTAAACTCAAATATATTTCAACTAATTACAGTATGGGGCACTTTATGTAGTATTTCCTAGAATTTTGTAACACTTTCCATTCAGACTGATAAGCCAGAATCAGGCTGACTCATCTGACTGACTACAGCGGGTAGAATGTCCTGGCATGGCTGGCTTAAAGTCTTTCTAACTATTACTGTGTACCTTGTCGTCCTTCAGGGAGCTGATCCTCGCCTCCAGATCCTTTAGTATGTTGTCCTGTTCACATAACCGACTCAACTTCACCTGCAGATGGAGACAAAGAGTCGAGTGGGCAGGGAAAGGAATGGAAGGGGGGTCCTTTGTACACTCACAGATAAAATGCCTCAAGTGCTCACCAAAGTGTGTGCGTGTATGTGCGTCTTGACCTCTGGTAATTAAGAGGCCCATTTGCTTAATTTACAACTTCCTCTTGTTTGTGTAGGTGCAGTGAATGAAAACGTCTCTGAGCGTAAGCATGTGTGAGCATTATAGTAACATGAGGGCACACATACTTGTGTATACGTCCATTTTAATGCATATGGGTTTAGCACACTTGAGATTTGCAGCCCTACAACTCCGCTGTCTCGTTTTGGTGTACTTAGAATTACTGTGAGTGAAGCAATTAAACAAAGTGAGTGCAACCCACCTGACATGTTTAATTACAGTGTCAGACTCTCAGAGCCTTGTTAATTAATCTCTGATTGAACTGAAAGCAAAGGTGGGATCACTTCATGCATGTAAAAAGGTTCAAAGTGAAAATCTTAATGTGAACAAAGTACCTCTCTGTATATATTGTTTTTTCTTTTACACTCTACATTGGTTTTTATATTCCACTGAATAAATTATTAATCTACAAGTTGTCTCCATGGCGATGTTGTTGTTGGAGCTCCTCAAATATTCATTGCAGACAACATGCTCATAAATTTTAAATAAACTGTGTGTGAGAAGTAAATCGTGAGAAATACTTTCATAAGAGAAAACGAAGACGGTTTGAAAAGCTGCAGGGAATTATCAGACTGAAAGACTCAAAGCTTTTGACTATTAACATTCTCCGCAAGATTTTTTCTCCTGAAATCTAAGTGTCCACCCACACTTTTTTCACAGGATCCATGTTTTGTTTTGCCTAAATTGCCCTTACTTTTCTCCCAACTGAACCACAACAGTCAGAAGAAACTAGAATTAAGTGTTCCCTTGGCTGAAAGGCAGCGAATGAGTGTTTGACTGTTTCATCTATTACATAAAAACATTAAACCTGTTTATGAATATTCTGAATATGCATCAAATAGAAAGGTCCTTGAATATATGTATATCTTTGTTCATTCAGGTCAATGCAGTTTGTAATAGAAACATATAACAAAAAAAACCTACAGCATCCTGAAATGTCCAACCAACACGCTTTTCACCGATTGGTTAAAAAGTTCTCGAGACATCAAAGTAACAACTGAAAATTATCAAACACAACCTCATCACAGAGTCTAAAGTGTATTTTTGTTTATGTTTTTTTTCTAGTGCAGTCAACAAGCTCGTACTTACATCCACATCACTTTCTGCAACCTTGACAGGTTTTCCTGACTCCTTCAGTACCTGGAAATTCCAAAATTAATATTTTAAGATATTAGTGTTGTGGTAAAAAACAAACAAAAAAGTGTACGACTCCATGGTACATCTGTGCTGAAGTAAGGGAAATGCAAAACACAGAGACCGGCTACAAACTATTATGGGCTGCGACAGGCTATCTATGACACATTCCCTAAGCCTTGTGTACATAACAGTATGAGACTTCTGCCACACAAAATCAGCTCTTGCCATGAACAACACAATGGCTATGGAGACTTTGAAGCTCTGCACAAAATGACTTATCGGTTTCCACTTGCTGTTTTTTTTTTTTTTTTTGAAAAAACAGATCTTTGAAGAATGCGCAGTGGAGCGAATTTCAGGTGCCCACTGTGAGGTTTACTGGCGTTACGCTCGCTAGCTTTACAAATCTCAGAATATAGCACATGTGCACCATGTTTAACACTAAAACTCACTGGTGACAGCTCTTTTTTTATTCATGTTTAGACGTTTTTCTGTTTTGCTCATTTTATTTTAGGAGTGTGTTCCCTTTTTTTAAATAAAACAAACAAATAAATAAACAAGACACAGTAGAGCCTTGCATCATTGTCAAGGAGGTGCAGCGTTTCAGAGACGATGGTAGAAGCAGCTGGCTTTTCAACCACCGGGCCACAGCCACAACACATGCACTGCCGAGCCATCCCATGCCCATTATTTAACAGCGCCATCAACATCGCCACATGGTGGGAGGGGGTTGTGTGAACATGGACAGAAGACATCATATTCAGTTCAAGCTGTAGATGCAGTGCTGTAGGCAATGGGATGGTCTTTCTAGAACACACACTCTCTAAACGTCTAAACATACACACACCCCATACACACAGACTATTGAGCTTGTGTCCCTCTGAACACTAAGCAAACATGCACGAGCAGGAATCACACCCACAAACACAGCCATACTACACACAGCTCTACATCTTTTAATATAGTGCACATACTGGACATACATGCACGCATACACAGAGCTTACGTTCATTAGAGGCCTGAGAGGCCCAGCAGTGCAGTGCAGTAGTAAACTGTGAACTGCGAGGATCAGGGGCTCTAGAGCTCTGATCTGGGAGTCAAAAATCACAAAGACACAGAGCCGCAATCACAAAATGGCGGCTGCTTTTGTGAGATGCTTCTAAAACCACTCAAAGAGTTAGAAGATCACTGCAAGGATTTAGGGATGTTTGGTCCCACACAGATGCTTGAACATCTCCTTTTGTAGCTACAACATTTGTAGCTGTCTCCGCTCAACAGATCAACAAGGGTGAAGGAAGTGGCTGTCAGTAAGAATCACCACGCGTGTTAGATTACACTAGAGACATTTCAAATCAGAAAGGCGCAGCTGAAGGGAAAAAAACACTTAAAGTAAAGGAAAAGATTCATTAAAATAGCTAACGGGAATCAGGTGATCAACTTTGTCCATCATTATCTTTCTCACCTTTAGGTCCAGATACTCCAAGTCCTTCTTCAGCTGCATATAGGTGTCATCAGCCTAGAAGATGACAAATATGCAAGCTTGGATTACTGATGTGTGCCAACAGGCACTAAACAATCCACTGAAACATCAATCTATAGAAGCAACAGAAACTATTAATTTTGCATCCCGGGAGATTTTGGTATCAAATATGATGTGTGTGACTTGCTGTTATATGTCTACGCACACATGCACCACAATACACTGAGACACACAGTAAAAATGTGTTCATTTATTTCATGATCAGAGAAGTTGCAATCATCACAGGACGAGCAGAAACCAGATCTCTTAGAAGAAGTAGAAGATCTTGAGATATTGTTGAATTCAGCTTTGAATTCAGCCCGTACGTGCCACTCAAAAGTAAAATAGAAGCAAGAAGTAGAAGAAGCAAACTTCTATACAGCCGAAAATAAGACTCACGCATCAGAGGACCAAGCTGAACAACACATCCACAGGTTGCCAGTTTGCTAAAGCATGGGATGGCTTTGTGGACGTCGAAAAGAGAGCAACACAACATGCCATGAACAGTATCAGTAGAAGCACGACATGGAAACTGACCAGCCAAGAACAGCACATGGACAAGAGGCAGATGGTTCTCGATGCTAAGCAAAGGAACTTTAAAGTAGAAGTTGCCACTAATATAAGGATACTAGGATCTTATTGAGTCTTTTGGTTGGGCTTCATTCATCATCTGAGTTTTCTTGATCACCATTTCAGATTTTATATGTTTTTACAGTTGGTAACTTTTCAATACAGTATAAAGACTGTTTAGATGTGAATGGAAGTAAGAGATATGAGTATCAGTGAACACTGAAAGCCTCAGTTCAATGAAAGTATTTTTAGGCAGTATAATACCCTTGAGAAGATGGTGTGTTTGAGACTATAAGCTGATGCGATACTGTATAACCTGTGTATTAATGTTTTTGGGTTTCAAGTGTGAAAAGCACAATCACTCAGCATCCAGACTTGGTGTTGCGTGATCGCAGGACGAGGAGGGTTACAAAAATTACTTAGGATTGGAGAAATGCAGCTGCTTTCACTATAGAGAACTTCACTTGAAGTTATAAAATAGAAACTCATAGGCACTTTAAAAATAGATTTTCTGAAAATTACCACCTGACCTTGTGGTGTCTCAAGAGAAAATGCCAGGATGAACTGGTGACTAAGATTACTTACAGAAATTTGAATGCAAAATCAAAAGGTTATTTTCACAAAATCTTGTTAAAGATCAAAGGTTTTCAACACTCTAAAAGAGACTTTACAGTGACCAAAGAAATCACCACCAATGCATTACTTTTTTTTGTAAACCAGTACTGTGACCACTTATCTTAATTAGGATTGTTTTCTACAGGGCAACACTGTGGTCTGATTCCTAGCACACACAAAAAAGCAGTTCTGGATTTGAATTTTAAACCCAGAACCTTTTTGTACCTGTGCAGGTTCTCTCTGGATACCTCAGCTTCCTCCCACAGACAAACTGACTGACCCTACCTTGCACAGTGGTATAAATAATGCGCATAAATATTGAGCCAGAAAATGCTAATAATGCATTACATTAGGAACAAATTAAAGAGTTATGTGTATAAAATAAGCTATAAAACTGAAATGGTATTCATGATTTAAGACTAATGCAGCCCTGCACAATTTTTAGTGGCAACCTCTATGAGTCCCTGGTAAAATGAGGGGCAGACAGGCAGGCGTGCCGCATTAGCCCCCACCTGGGTGTTGCAAGGGCCAAGTGATGCCGAGAGGCCCATGTGTCCAACATGGGACACGGGAGAGGGGCCGGCGCTGAGGAGGGGACTGGTGCTAGTGGTGGTAGCACTGAAGAGGTGGTTGTGTTGGAAAGGATCTTTGGGACCATTGAGCCGCTGGAGCTGGGCTAACGTTTGCTGACGTGCGGAAGCCATCTTGGCCTGATGGCGACGCAGCTGAATAAGGAGCAGAGTGAGCTCCTCGGGCTGTCACATGCATCACAAGAGATTCAATCTAGCAAATCTTAATACTAAGCACAAAAGCTTCGCTCAGACTGCTCTTCTTTAAATACTATAGGTCACTTCACACAACTAATTGGCAAATTGTTTAGTCGATGGCTAATTTGCAGCTAAAATAAGGAGGATGAATGGTGCTGAAACAAAAGGCAGGAGGACAACAACATAGGCTACTGCCAACTGGTCAAGAACAACAACAAAAAAAGACTTATTAATGACTGGTTTATAGCAATCAAAATTCACTCATAGCAGAGAAATATTCCCCGAGTCACTGACTTATTGAGATGGAAAAGCTATGTATAAACAACAAGTTTATACAACCTTTAAAATTCACATTCACATTTCATATGTTTATTTGAGAAACTTACCGTTTTGCCATGAAGGCTGGGTGCACTGACTGTGTGAGTGATGTAGCCGGACGGAGGCATTGATCGTCTCTCAACAGTAGCAGCCTATAACACACAGACAACGCATTCATGTAGACTGTTTGAAGAAGTAAGATTAAAATTTCATATAAGACTTCATTCATATTAAATATTTATTACAGATTCAATGCAGTCTTACTCTAGACGCTATTTTCTAGAACAAGAGTGAATGCAGAATGCCACAAGTCTTGTTTTAGAAGATGCAATGTTTGATTGGATCTTAACATCGAAATGCTGTAATTTTTTTAAATCTCAGGGCAAAATGTGTGTGGATGTAATTATCCATCATTATTCACTCTATATTAAAAGTGGTGTATTCACACACAAATGGGCAGATGTTCATTTACATGCTTTGAATAAGTGAGGAAATGTGTTGTCAACAATGTATAATGTATACGTTTCAAGTCTGCTTTTGAGTGAGTGAGGATACAATGAGGCACAGTTCCAACATGTGCCTACGATGTTCAGAATGACTAACACTTTTCTGAATACAAAACTAACTGATATTGCATTTAACAGGGGGGAAAATCAGACAATGGTGCAATCTTGGAAGTAAGAATTAGATGAAATACATTTATCAATATATGCAACAGAAGCTGTAACAGTAGTTTGTGTACTGTCATCCTAATCAAGAACATCTACACAAGCTATCATTACAGAACATAACCCTCGTACATCACAACATTGCTTTGGAATACTTCTGTTTTTTTCCCTTTTTCTTGTATTATTATGTGATTAAATCTTGTGCATCTGGGGATTTGGGTATCATAAGATGATTCAGAGAGTGTAAGCTAACTGCCTAAAATGTAATTATGACGCCAAAAAACAGTGTTTCTTCCCCGTTATGTAAAGTTTTAATCTCATTCCATTGATTAAGAACTGCCTGTAATTTTCACAGTGTGTGTGGACACTTCTCTGTGCACAGTATCACCACTTTGCCTAAAGGAACCTGGACATTATTGATGTTATCCTTTCTCTTTCATGCATTAATTATACTGTATCTGGAAACTACAGCCACAATTACAGCCTAAAGTCTTTTTGAGTGTGATGCTACAAAGTTGACACACCTATTTTTGGGCAGTTTCTCTTGTCAAGTGCACAGCCATTTTCACATATCTCCAGGGCTGGGCTCTGGCTAGGCCACTCAAGGACATTCACAGACTGCTCTCTAAGACACTCCTTTGTTATCTCGGCTTGGCTATCTTGGTTCATTGTCCTGCTGGAAAATGAACCTTCAACCCAGTCAGATCCAGCACACTCTGGAGCAGGTCATCATCAAGGACGCCTCTATGAAATGCTGCATTCATCATTTATCTGCATTTCATCCTGACTAGTCTCCCACATCAAAACATCCTCACATCATGACGCTGCCACCACCATGCTTCACTCTAGGGATGATTATTATGATAAGCTGCGCCCGATTTCCTCCCAATGCGATACTTGGTATTGAGGATATAGAGTTCAGTCTGTTTCATCACACCAGAAATTTTGTTTCTCATTGTCTGAGAGTCTGTTAGGTGGCTTTTACTAAGGAGTGGCTACAGTCTGGCCACACTGCCATAAAAGCCTGATTGCGGAGTCCTGCAAAAATGGCTGCCGTTCTGGAAGGTTCTCTTCTCCACAGAGCAACACTGGAGCTTTGCAGAGTGACCATCAGGTTCTTCTTTATTTCACTGTCTAAGCTTTTCTGCCTTGATCGTTCAGACTGGCCATGCTGGTAGTACAATACTGGTAGTTCCAGACATCTTCCAATTACAGACGATGGAGGCCTCTGTGCTCATTGAGCCTTCAATGCTGCAGAAATGTTTTAGTAATGTTCCCCAGATCTGTGCTTCAATACAATCCTGTCTCAGATGTCTACAGACAATTCTTTGGACTCCATGGGCTGGTTTGTGGTCTGACATTAACTGTTAAGTATTGCACCTTATATTGTTTTCCTAATCATGTCCAATCAACTGAATTTATCACAGGTGGACTCCAGTCAAGTTGTAGAAACATCTGACTGATGATCAGTCGAAACAAAATGCACCTGAGCTTATGTTTGAGTGTCATGGCAATTTTTTTTTTACAAGAATATCAAGCAAACTTTAGGGTATTGTATGTAGAAAATAATTTAATTCATTTTTGGAATAAGGCATGACAATCTGGACAATCTGCACTGTAAACATGAAAGCTGAAACCTAAAAACTATAACAACATTGAAGCACTATAACAAACAGTATGGCAGCTGGGTTATCTTACCTTAAACAGCTGAGATTTGGTCCTGCGAGGGGAAACAGTGAAGGGGATGTTCAACACGGATATATCACTCACAGGCTTGACTGTCACCCGCTCAGCCGGCGTGTGTGGCCTCCGTGCGGGGGACAGGGTTCGGCTGATACCAGGAGGAGGGCCTGGTGGAGGTATGTCTGCTGATGATGGTGGTACTGAGACACAGCGAGGAGAGCCCTCTGACCTAGGTGCTGAAGAGGAGGGAGGCACAGTAGATGGTGGGCGGGGGCCAAATGGATACTCTGGGGCCGGGGTGTAAAGCGGTGCGGTAGGGCTGCCGTGACGGTACTGGTGGCGCTGCTGCCACTCATACAGTTGCCAGACAGTGTTGGACGCCGGGCCCCCCTGATCTGGGGTCAGGCGAAAGTGACTCAGGCGGTCCTGGGCATACTTGTACTCGCCGAGTCGGCCAGGTGGGGGACTTTGGCGAGGAGTTTTTGGCAGGGTTTGGTAGGCGTCGATGGAGGTGTACTTGTGTTGCGTTGGTGGTGTGCGACGAGGGAGGGTGTTCTCTCTGGATGGGGCACTGTTAAGTAGAAACAGCAAGAAAACATTAGGCTACTTCTAAGGGCAAAAAGGCAACATTGACACATCATTAGCACTTAATTTGATATAAACTTATACTTTATTCGTTACTCCTGAGGTTCGTCATTTGAAGGCACAGTGTGAGTTTTATCTCCTATGCAGATGCCAGACAACTATACATACAGAAGTAAATGTTACTGGCACACTGCCTCCTTACACCTGAGCTGTATATCTGTAAAGTTTGGCCAATACTGTAAAAACCTTGGGGTGACTTTTAACAACCACTTCAGGTCAAACAAGCTTGTTGTTTTAGTTGTCCAGTCTTATTTTATGCAGATTAGGAGACGTAAGATCAGCTCGATTTCATCTAAAACAATTGTAAAGATGGTCATACATGGTTCTATCTCCTCTTTGTTAGATTATTGCAATTTATTCTACATGTTTAAGCTACAAAGACTACACCAACTTATAGCTGTTCCAAAATGCAGCCAGACTTCTTACTAAACCAAAAAAAGAGAACATGTCACTCCAGTTTTAGTTTCTCTTCATTGGTTACCCATTAATTTTAGAATTAAGGTTTTAATTATGAGAATTTAGTGTTGATTTTTACGGTTCGCTCTGGGCTCACACCAAAGTACATTTCAGATCTTCCGACACCATACGCTCCTGGTCATAGCCTTAAGCCCTTACCTAAAGCTCTGCTGCCCATCACACAACCTTGGCTGAGCACCAAGGGTAATCAGACTTTTTCGATCAGGACACCCACTCTTTGGAACAATCTGAGGAGACGGTTTCAAGGGGAGCTCACTATCGTCTTTTAAATCCCTCTTAAAGACATATTCTTCATAAGCAGGCTTTTTCTGTGCCTCCACTTTCACCTTCATAGCTGTTTTATCATCTTCTCCTAGTGATAATTTTTAATGTACTTTAATTTTTCATATCTGTTGCTAATTTACCTGTTTTTTTTTTGTTTGTTTTTTAAATTGGCTTTATCTCTCACTTTCATCTCCTTGTGCTGCCAGCATTCTGATACCTTATAAAGTTTCACTTTTATCTGTTCTTAAATTTTTTATTTGTTGTTTGTTTCCCATCTTGTTCTGTGAAGCACTTTGTAACTTTGTTTGGAAAGAAAAAAAAACATTTTTGTATATTGCAATGACCTACCCTTTGTACTCAGCCTTCTGTACTTTGACCCACTGCTCCACCTGCTCAAGGGTACTTCTCCTCTGAGCGTGCTTTTGTGTGTTATTAGCAGGTGGCTCTGGGGCCCTTTGATACGTCCCTGCTGCGATGCCGTTGGGTTCCAGTATGGGGCTGGGTGTGGAGACCAGGCCATTTCTTGTGCAAATGCTGGAGGGCAAAGTCGAAGCGGCTCGTGACGGAGCACGGGACGGCACCCTGGACACAGGCGCTGAAGCCGAAATGTGATCTGGCTGTGGTACGGCAGAGGGTGCGGGATTAGATGGGAGGGAAGTGTGCGTGTCCATTTCTAGGCCAGTGCTTCCTATGGGGGGATCCAACATGATGGTGGCAGGAGAGTCTTTGTGAAAGCTGCAACGCTCCTCTGCGTCACGGTGTATGGGCTCCAGGAGAACCTCATGAATCATCTGTCTTGTTGTCTCAGAATCGAAAGTCTTGGTCTTGTGGTGGCTTACATGGTTTGTCTGTGGGACAGCCTGCTGCGACAACTTATCAGCTGGTCTGTGGAGAGTGGAGATGGCAAAAATCAATGAATGCTGTCATTTTACACTCTTATACCCTTAACAATGTAATTAACAATATCTGTAATTCGGATAGCAGTTTTGTTCCTCAGGCTTTTCGAAGGACTGCAGTGGCTCCTCCTCAATAACAACCAAGTCTGTTTCGTTTCATTTCACGGATACCCCGTACACGTTATAAGCCAGAGTTCTAGCATTTTAATCTTCTTTTCTGTTGTAGTGAACTCAATTTGTACTAGATGGTGACTACCACATGAAAGGGAAACTTTTCCTCAGAATCCTTAGCTTTATGAGCAGGCAAAGACCAAAGAAGTCACAAAGCAAACAGATGACACTCAAAGCCTGGTAACCATATCTCTATTTCAACCACATTAATGAAATCCCATGTAAACAAAGCACTCAGCCAGAAGAAATAGGCCAGTCTCCAGCACACCAAGTCATAGTTAGTTTAGTTTTAAAGAGGTGTTCAGACAAGCCCAGGTGATACTGTCCCCGTCAATGGCTCACATCTAAACATATCAGAATGAATTACAGTAGCACTACAGTGAGTTGTTTCTCCTCATTACTGTGGACTGTGCTAAATATAGTGTTGCTAGCTGTGCATTCCATCCATTTGCAATGAAAATAATTTTTTTGCATACTGCAGATGAAAGCCTTTAAAAAGTACTTTAAGCATGCAGTCACAGTACTTTTAGTTTAGCTTCTAAAAACACTGGAAATGGGTGAAAAAGAGGTTAAAGAAATTCCCATCTGGAAGCTGTCTTCAGCTACATTTCCCTTCTGTTATTCACAAACAACTAGTGTAGTCTTGTGGGACTGCCCCCAAAGTAAAATACAAGATAATGAAAATAAAGAGGTGCCAGCAGCGGGTATCTGAGGTTGCTTGTGAATGATGGACTTATTTGATCTCTGCCCCTCGTAAACATATTAATAATTCATGAAGGAAGCTGCTGTTTGTTAAAAAAAAAAAAAAAAAGCACCCACATCAGCAATCAGAATGTATTTTTTGAATGATACTAATATTACAAACAAATTCATCATATTTTGGAGAAGCAGGAGTGGAGCAGGACATTTTTTAAATTATTCTGTGAATCTTTAAGTATGATAAAAGACAACAGTGCAAAAACAGCATGTCTCAAATTGCGAATGACAACATTCCTATTTAAACTATAGGACTGTATTCATCTGGGAAAAGAAAAAAAATGAGATGAATAATGTTAATAATGACCTGATCATTGCATCGCTGTGGTTCTGCATCAGCGTGGCCTGGTTCATGGCCCTAAGCCAGGTGTTCATGTCTTCTTGGGTGTCGGCACTGAAGTAATAGGTTCGCATCCCAGTGTGCTCCGCCTGCGAGCCAATCACAGAGGTCTGCTTGTAAATGTACGAGCGCATACCAGTGTGGCTAGCCTGTAGGAAGAGAAAGGAGGCTGGGTCAAGTAGTGGTCAGAGGGGCACAGACATTACTTGAGAGACAGAGCGCCAGATGGGTTTCAAGTCCGAGAGACAGGGGGATATCATGCTGTCCAACAAGAGAAACAACATCAAGGGCAACATAAGCACTGACCAGTACAGAAAGAGCGAATGAAGGAAATCACACAGCAGAAATACAGAGACAATAACGCCAGCCAGTTACAACCCACAAAGGCACAACCTTCAAGCAATGAGAGGAAAGATACTGTGCTATGATGGAACACAAAAAAAACAAAAAGTTAGTGTCAGGGCAAAGATCCCTAAACCCAAATTTTCTTCATGAACCTGTCCCCATTTGAACCTTTTTTTTCTTCCTATTTCCTTTTCCACAACAGTAAAAATACAACAGCTTTTATAAGGTGCTTGACAAGACAGGTCCATAAATCACAGTGTTCTGCAAAGAAAAAGCAGTTGTCTACTGAGTTATTATATTTAGCACTGACAAATTTAAAATGAATATATCTTTATATACCTTTAAAATTTAAAAGGATATTAGTTCACATTCACTTAATTATTAGACTAGATTAATGTAGCTTCAGTCTAAAGACCAAACAGTGAAGTCTGCAGCTGTTCAAATGTAGGTGAGCATTTAACAGCTAGAGAGTTTGATATTTCTCTCAAAAATTACACAGGACAGAAATAGAACCAAAGGTGAATGAATAATTGGACTCGTTAAAAAAAAAAAAGCAGCTAAACGCACAGCTGTAAGCATGAGTGCTGCTCCGTGCCTCAACCTACACTATAGTAACTCCAAACTTGGTGATATCTCAGCTTGCTCCACTTCCCCAAATAGCCCTAAAATCATTTAATGCATCTCTAAATAATTTGTCTGCAGATATCGCCTACATTTCCCCTTTACTGCGCCCTAGAAAACACATGCAGAATAGTTATGTTCAGCAGGTCTATCTGTTTGTGTAGGAGGAGACAGCAGTAATACCAGCACTACCACAGTAAGTGCATAAAAGGGAGGATTTTTTTTTTTAGTCAAAGTAAAAATGATTTTTTTTTCTTTACTCAAAAATCAACATGTTCTTGGCTGCACTGCACTGAGGTCTACTGAGAATACCATCAGAATGGAAGTTAGCATCTCTGCCTCTCCTGCCAAATCCCAAAGTTTTGCTGAACTATGAAACCCAAGGAAAGACTAGAAATGCTTAAGCCAAGTACTGTTTGATAATTCATCTATAATACACACTCACAGGATATTTTTGCTAAATAACTAAACATTATGTCACTGATACTGTAATTTGCCAGCAATCGTCAGCAATGGGATAATATAGCATCAAAGAAGCAGACCGGCCTTAAATTCAATGAACAGTGTATCAGTAAGGCAGTTTTTAATTAAAGAAGTCTAAGTGTTTAGTATGCTCGATAAAGATCTCTGTGTAAATGTGGGGTTATTAGAGCTCCTTTTAAGTGAGCTGCACTCCATTGAGCACAGCTCTATAAATGTCCTACTTTTCCCTTTCCTTCCTGCAGTGTTTCAGTAGTTGGGACTGGAAGACAAATGAGAGCACCCACTCAACAACAGATGCATTTTAATTTAAAGTAATTAGCCAGTCCTCCCTGTCCCAATCCACTGTCTGAATAATGAAGGCAGGATAGAGCAGTGTGTACGGTGTGTTGCTGTGGGATCCACAGAATTTCTCAGAGATTTTCTTACTCTGTTTATAATGTGATAAAATGAATGTAATCCTTGCATTCTTGTATTACAGCGTGACAGTCGGGAACACACAAAGCATCGCTCCCACGCTGGCTGTTTAATGTACACACTTAACACGCTCATGAATAAAACAGACTGTCAGTCCTGCTGTTATATCCCTGTTAATATAAACTCTAAATAAACCCTGGCAAACAGACGCACACAAACAGACGCACAACATGTGAACTCACCTCCCCTCTGCACTCCAGCTTAAACAAGCTCATTTCGGCGGCTGCAGCGAAGCACGACAAAAATAACTTGGAATATAATTCTAGTCACTATGCTAAAGTGTGGGCTTGACCCTGATGCTGCTACATATTTGAAGATCGGGGAGGTAACCGCATTCCACACCTGATGCACACAGGAATCAATAACCTGGCAGCTAAGCAAACACTTTCATGAGCTTTAGGCAAATGGAAACAAGGGAGGGGTATGGATGGGCTACGCATTGAGGAAACCTTATTTGGACTGTATGGAGGTGAGAGGCTGATAATGCCCTCATCATGAAGGTTACAGATTATGGTTGCTGAGCTAATACATATTATCCTTTGACATATGGGATGATCAATTAAGTAAAACATGTGATAGATGATTTTGTGGGTGACTTTTTCTCATTGTGACAAGGACTAAAAAAAAAAAGTACTATTTTCCGCACTATAAGGCGCACTTAAAATCCTTTAATTAATCCTTTAAAAATCGACCGTGCACGTTATAATTCGGTGCACCTTATGTATGAATTCTGGTTGTGCTTACTGACCTCGAACGGATTTTATGTTGTACACGGCACTCAAAAGTCTGTCAAAAATGCTTTAGTATGACTTTGGCAAGCTATGAAGCCGCACTGCTTGATGGATTGTCGGAGCAGTAAGGCTACCGTAGTCAGGAGCCTCGCGGAATAATCCGGTTTCAAATTCTGTTTCAGGTCCCTAAGTCAAACGAACACTGCGGCGTCACTGAGAGTTAAAAACTGTCTAAATTCTTTCATCTTTAATAAAATGATCAGTGTTGCTGCTTTACCAGGTGTAACAATTAAGTTTAACATCCAGGTATCCATGAAAACAGGATTTATTAAATTTAACCGAGTTAGAAGTTAGCAGGAAGTTAGCGCACTAGTTTCCACCTAAACATGATATAGCATGTTCTGACTGAGAGATTTCTGAAAAGATTAAAACGTACAGCTCTGCTGTCACTTCCAACATAAATGAAGACGGGAAACTAAACAGCAGTGATGTTTGTAGGGTTATTGAAGTTGGGCTAGCTGGTATAAAATGATGTGATACGTGATCACTAGCGACACAGCTATGTTAGCATAACATAAACTGAAGCTGGAGGATGAACGCTAACTTTTATCCACTCAATAAAAGTTAACGTGAGGGTTCCCGATGGTTAGGGACAAATGCAATCGCATGGCAGGATGCTGTAAATGGACCAAACTTCAGTCAGGAGAACAACTGAGATAATCCATCCACGATACGAGGTTATTAATTAAAGTACTGCAACAACATTGGAATAGAGCAGCTGCAAGAGAATTCAACATTAATGAATCAATGGTACGGAAGTGGAGGAAGCAAGAAGAATGAGTTGAGTAACGTTTGACTTATCTGACTGTTTTGTTTCGCTTAATGCGCCTTATAATCTGGTGCGCCTTATGTATGAAAACAGACCCGTTCATCAGCAGTGCACCTTATAATATGGTGCTCCTTATGGTCCAAAAAATACTATGATTTCCCCAGACTGGATCATCTAGGACAGCTATCGTGTCCTATCATAACAAGACTCAAAAGTCTCAAAAAGCTAAAATAAAAAATAATATTATCCATTACTCTTTGAATGGTAATGTTTTTGTATGTCACTGACATTTCTGAGATCAAATAGTATATCAACGAATGGAAAAATAATCAGATTTACCAATAAAGAAACCCTAGCTCATCTTTAGTAATCTCCTTGTAACTAGTACAAACATCTCAGACCATAGTGTAAAACAGTAAACTGTATAAAACAATATAAATGTGCTATATCCAAGCATTTGCATTCAGTACAGCTGATCTATATGTAAAGAAACAATTAAAAGATGCAGACTACAAAAAGAATCCTGCCACCCTTTCACCACAGGTCACATCATTCATTTAAAATGTGCCATCAAAATTTTTCATGTCTCTACTCATTAAAAAATAAAAAGCACACCAGATTGAAAATATTTTTCTTTTAAGGTCATTATGTGTCTCTTCACAGCTTCTAGTGCTCCAACTATTTTTAGATTGCTCCTTGGAAGTGTGGCTGTGACCACTTGAACTCATGAATCCGAAATGGCTGCTAGATTTCCTCTATTCAACAAAAGGGGTGGAGAGGCTCATGGTGCCAACTATGGAGAGTAACTATATAGTGTATTGGTTCAGCCAAAAGGATTTTGCCTTTTCAGTATGACGGGACACTTGGTTTGATGAACCTTCATATTCCTCAGGGCATTACAGTAACTACACACGACTCAACAAAGAAGTGGTGGAAGGTGGGAGAAAAAAAAAAAGAGCATGCTTCTGTTCACATTTCTACCCTGGCCTCTGGATCTTACCTTAGCAGGGCCTCAGGTCCGACTACATTTGATATTCTTGGCATAAAAGTAAAAGTCCCTTTAACACAGAAGTCAATGTTTTCTCTCTGCATAAGGTTCATGTCCAAAGTGAAACTGAAAATGTGTATCTGCAAGTGGTTTAAACAACACTTTAACAAAGTGATCCAAACTTAGCAGGAGTCCTGGAAGTGGCCCAGACAAATTTTAATCAAGCAATGTTTTTGCTTTTATCAAGCTTTTTATAACATTTCAAATTAGGTTTGCTTGTTTTAAAGATGCCTTTGCACTTGTTTGCTGCGGTGTTTGGTTAAAAAAATATGTAGGTTTGCCATGATGTTACCCAGAAGAAAACCACAGATGTAAACTGTGAAGGGCTCAGCTGGCCTTTCACTGTCAGGACTGGAGATGTGTTAAGGCATTTCAGGGGCCAGGAAACAGTCAGGGAAACTACTTAACAACTACTCATCATAAATGTGAACTCTAGATATGTCCAAAGAACATGCTAAATATCTTGATGAAAGCAACACAGCATCCTCAGGAAGCAGCTGTCAAAACACGCCTGTTCACTCACCGTCAGCACTCTGACAGATGGCCTCTTACAGCTACAATGGGACAGGCTGCTTGATGAGAGAGAGGGGGCTGTGCTACTAGTCAGATGTTTAGCCA